TCCTTTTTTTGAACTATGAAGCGGAAACAACCGAACTTCTAAGACAAAGTGGCTCAAAACATGAGGTAATTGTATGCAAAGTTCCATTTTGAACAAACGTATACTTTGCGAGTTATGCCCTTGGCCAAAAATGTCAATAATGAGTAATTTAACCCGGATGTGCCACGCCCACCTCATTTATTTGATAGAATTTAATTAATATTCAAAATGTTGTGTCGTGTATCAAATGCCAAGGTTATACATAATACAGGTCAAAAGATATAGGTCAACAAAAGTCAACAAAGGTCAAAATCGAAAATTGAAAATATCCAAATGTTAAAACCCGTTCCTTTTTTGGAACTATAAAGCTGAAACAACTGAGCTGTTAACACAAACTGGCCAAAAGGATGAGGTAATTGTGTGCAAAGTCTCTTTTTGAACAAACGCATCCTATGCGAGTTATGCCCCAGCCCCAAAATGTAAACAATTAGAAATTCAACCCGGATGTGCCACGCCCACATAAGTTTTTTTGTCATAGGTTAATTCATATTCAAAGTGTCTAGTTATATTCTAGATATCAAGGTTCTACATCAAATAGATCATAACATATACATACACTAAGCTCAAAAAGTCGCAAATATTGTAAAAAAAACAAAACTCAAATTTGAAAAAATCACGAATTTCAATTTTGCTTTAAAAAAACGATTGTTATATATCTATTTAAAGTACACGAGAAGCACATTAGGAAACCGAAAAAATTTACTCTCTAGGTTAATTAGGTCACGTGCTAGAACAGTCCAAAGTTGCGAATTTGGATGTTTTTGGACAGCTATAAAAGCGAAAGTAGACGTCAGAGGTCAAATATGAAAGCATAAACTAATAGACAACGTCAATGACCTTTGACCCAATAAAGGTCAAGGTCATCAAAGGTCAAGGTCAAAAATTGAAAATTTTGAATTTCCAAAACCTGTTCCTTTTTTTGAACTAAGAAGCGGAAACAACCGAACTTCTAAGACAAAGTGGCTCAATTCATGAGATAATTGTATGCAAAGTTCCATTTTGAACAAACGTATACTTTGCGAGTTATGCTCCTGGCCAAAAATAACAATAATGAGTAATATTATCCGAATGTGCCACGCCCACCTTAATTTTTTTGCATAGGGTAATTGATATTCCAAATGTTACGTTGTGTTTTAAATTTCAAGCTTCTACATTATTCAGGTCAAAAGATATGGGTCAACAAATGTCAACAAAGGTCAAAATCGAAAAATGAAAATATCCAAATGTTGAAACCCGTTCCTTTTTTGGAACTATAAAGCTGAAACAACTGAACTGTTAACACAAACTGGCCAAAAGGATGAGGTAATTGTGTGCAAAGTCCCTTTTTGAACAAACGCATCCTATGCGAGTTATGCCCCAGCCGCAAAATGTAAACAATTAGTAATTCAACCCGGATGTGCCACGCCCACCCCAATTTTTTTGTCATAGGTGAATTCATATTCAAAGTGTCTAGTTGTATTCCAAATATCAAGGTTCTACATAGAATAGGTCATAAGATATACATACACCAAGCTCAAAAAGACGCAAATATTGTAAAAAAAAACTCAAATTTGAAAAAATCACGAATTTCAATTTTGCTTTAAAATAACGATTGTTATATATGTATGTAAAGTGCAAGAGAAGCACATTAGGAAACCGAAAAAATTAACCCTCTAGGTTAATTAGGTCACGTGCTAGAGCAGTCCAAATTTGCGAATTTGGCTTTTTACGGATAGCTATAAAACCGGAAGTACATGTCGGAGGTCAAAGGTCAAAGTATCAAATGATAGCCAAGGTCAATGACCTTTGACCCTATGAAGGTCAAGGTCATCAAAGGTCAAGGTCACATGGTGTGATCGTTTAAAGCTTTAAAAAATTTCAACCGGAAGTTGCAAAAAAGCAAAAGCGAAATTCAAAATTCGGCTCCCAATGTTTTTTGCGCAATCGATTGCAGAATACATTCACATCAAATTTGAGCTTATCAACATTTACCCTGAGGCCCCATTTTGAGTTTTACAAAAGTGTGTTTTTTCAATATGGCGGCCAAAGTATCACTTCCGGTCTGGATTTTATTTTCTTCGTTTTTTTGTATTAGCATTTACTTACGATCAGCATAAATTTCGTTGACCTATTTCAATTACACCGGAAGTTATTCGACCGGAAGTGGATTGTACTTTCAATTGATTCCCCGTTTAAAACCGGAAGTAAAATTAAATATTTGACAACTACATATTATTTGCTTTGGTGATGTCCCTTTGCATATTAAATTTCAGATCAATCGATGCAAAAGCAAAAAAGTTGCAAAAAAATTGAAAAATTTGATCGAAAAAAGTGAGCGACGAATTTTCGAATTTCGTAATTTTTCAAGTGCTATCAGGTCAGAAATTACAGGTAGATTTTAAAAATGAAAATCCGAAGAAAATTGATGCAAAAATACGCCTTCTAGAGCCGATTTTCGACTTTTTGCACATGTTGCACTGTGGCACTTCCGGTTTTGCAAAAATGTTCCAATTTATATTTATGCACATCGTCGCCTATATAGAAGGTCTATGAAATTTGAAACGTACCTGCAACTAGTGCAGTCTAAGCTCAGGAAGGTGTGGACGAAACGAAAAAAAAAAAAAAAAAAAAAAAAAAAAAAAAAAGAATTGACATTTCGATAACAGGAATTAAAATTCTCGATGATGGGTAACCAACTCCAGGCTCAATTTAACCACACATTGATATGGATATTAGATAATGGAAATTTTAGTCCAACAACGAATGAAATGAATTGAAATGAATGGAGTTTTACGTCCTACTTTTCTGCACCATGTGGGCTAATGAAGACGGACAACGCTACGCAGGGTGCAATGAGGGATATTTTGCCAGGACAGTGGCATTAGCCTACTCTTTAACGTGCACAGCCTGTAGCACACGGGGCCTCGGTTTATTGTCCCATCCGAACGACTAGACGCTTTTTCCATGTCAGCCCCTCTCACCTGAATCACTGACAGGGGGAAACCGGGTTGAAAAATCCGAAGATATTATCTCGACCTATGCCGGGATTGAACCCTGGACCTTCAGGTTAGCGAGCAAGCGTCTAACTCACTGAGCCACCGCGGCTACCTTTAGTCCAACAACAGCCAAATGGGTATTTAGTTACCTCAATAGTAGTAGCATAGAATAACAGTTCACAATTACCAATTATTTGAAAACAAACAAAACATGTACATTCACCGAAGGAATATCCGATTTTGCCAATTTAAATATAACCAACTAAACTAAATAAAATATGTATATAAATGAAAACAGCAGTTCTTCCAGTTTTATTTACAAACGGTTCTCGTTTATGTCTCGAGACATCCACAATAAACAGACAGATGATCATCCATACCACTCACATACCTCTAGGATAACGGTCATAAACCTTACTACCTTACAATCTAAAGAAATATCAGCAAAATTATGTGTAGTTTAAAAGGCGATTGTCTCCCATGATATAGTCTGAAAGCACACAATGTATTTAAACATCCAACTATCTATTTACTATAGATCACCTTCCAGTCGCAAGTGGTGGGATGGAAATATGGACAGCTTCGATTATCCATATAATTCTTTGTTTTTACGTGGAAAAGCATCTCTTACATTGTTAAATCATCTTAATTCGGCATTCTTCACCTCCTACAAAGTAATGCAGACTTTTCAAAGGTTTAAAACTGTTCCAAGGGAAATAACTATACAATTACCTTTAATCTAAAACAATTTCATAAACTTTTTTCTGGTTTTAGGAAACGTTGCGAAAGGCTTGACTTCTTAAATAACATCTCATACATGATATATAAACATGGAATTCGATAATATTCATTCATATCACCATTCAAACTGTAAATCATAAACATTTTTCAGACATTAAATTTGTCAATGGGATTATAAAAAACACCCCCGAGACGAATGCATAATACCTCGCCAGTCATTAAACTGGTGCTGTTAAAACGAGGATATCAATAATGAACGATAACAACTTTAACAACCAAATAATCTCTTATGCACAAGCTTGTCTGTACTGGTTATGGTGTGTGATCAGGATTTCACACCGAGCCCATTTAAGGCATATTTAATAGATAAAATATAAAATACTACAAGAATAAAACCTAGTACAAAGGGTTCAATTTAAAAGAATAATAACATAACAAGGTAATCCATGCCAGGACCACAAAATACTTGACATTGCTTGACAATATAACATTCAAGTGCCCAATTTCAGAAAACAGATTATTCTTGAACATCTTGACAGTACCACTATCCCAGTAGGCCTTGTATCGATTTCAGCTTGACGATAAGAATTTCTACCTATAATGACCTATTACACGGTAATGGATAGTCAAAAGCATCTCTTTCTAAAATAATATTTTGGTAACCTCATCGTACGTCGTTTAAATACAAGAAGCCTACTGTTATTTCCAGATGTTGATGTTTTTTTTTAAAGTTCTCTAAAGCCCAATCAAGATAATGAATACGTTTGTGTTTCGTATTTAGTTCATGTATTGCGAAACAATATAATTGAATCGAGGAAACGCCTACTTGGTCAATAAAAAACATGTTTCTATGAAATTAATCAGTTGTCAAGAATCTTATCATAATGTTATCAACTGAAATTCTTGTTTAAAGGGGGTTCTTGTCATGCTTAATTATCATGTTTTGGTTGGAACCATCAAGCCAGTACAGTATCCATATAAATTTAGAAGTATCTTGTTCTATTTAAAACGTATGGTATTTGGGAATAATTTATCAAAGAAATTCGGATCCATTTCAACATTAATCATAAAGAAATATGGTCAGCGACTTTAAAATTGTCACGTGTTATCAGTCTCTATTGACGATCCACAAACATAACCTCTATATATTGTAGTTAAATATTTAAGGATTTCAAAGAGCAGGACAAGGCAATAACTTGTGTGGTATTTGGTCATAAACACTTATTGGTATTGGAGATAATTTTAGTTCGATCAAAAGCATTTTCATTTGTGAACTTGTTAAATCTACAATAATGGCACAGGTAGTCATCACGTCCCAACCAACATCAGGATTGGTAGCACCAGTTGATGGAAACAGAGAGTGGTCGAGTGGTCTATTTTCATGTTGTAGTGACTGCAAAGCGCGTAAGTAGCTCTCTTGTATAAGAATATACAATTTTTCCACATTGTTTGATTATTTTCAATTCGAATATTGAAGTACAAATTTAATCAATTTTCGTGAAAATTGCTTTCCATAATCCCAACAAAATGTATAGTATTACATTTTCCTTTTTCAAAAAAAAGAAAACGTATTTTATTTTTGATATCTAACTACAAATATACAAGTTTGTTTCTCTACAAATTGCACAAATTGCAACAAACACTCAAAATGGGGGTCGCCTATTTTCTTGGTATATGATGGAGTTTTATATTTTGAACCAAATTGGGATTAATAAAATTACAAACCTGTTACAGGAGCAACAGAGTAAAATCTAGCTGACTAGTTTCTACTTTTATTTAAATAAAAAAGAAAATCTGTCAGAACTTAGGGATGATCGTAACGTCCCTTTAGACTCTTAAGTAACAGTACATCGTGAGAAGGGTGGGACCTTGGTGGATTATGTGAATACCTAACGGACCGGATAATACTTTTGACAAGTTTATGAAATGCAAATATTATTTTAACAGAATAATGGTCTGCAATTTAGCAACTTTGTTTCATCAACCTCATACTGTTTTTTTACCCTAAACTATTTAATGTTTCGATAAATGTTAGTGGGATTATTGAAATAAATGTTTGAATCAACAAAGTTATTATCTGATTTTATCTGCAATGATTTAATCTATTTCGCAATCTTTGTTATCTTCCAGGGCAACGTAACCTCATCATGTTTTCAAACCCTAAACTATTTTAAATGATGGTTTTAGAGTTGCATGTACCGCCATTGTTCTTTGAAATAATTTTCTAAATCATTTGTTTTTATATGCAGTGATTCAATCTATTTCACAACCATATTTTATCAACCAAAACAACGTAATACTGTTTAAATACCCTTAACTTTTATAATAAAAAATTATTTTATTCCGTGTTTACGAAATGTTCTTTGTTTGTATATCAAAGAAGCAAATAAGTTTGAGGGCACTCTCGTGTTATTCTTTTTTACGATTCTAATGGTTACCAGCATAAACACGACCCATGAACCCAGACAAGTTCAGAAAAGGCATGCACTAAACAATGTGATATAGAAATAATGCTACTGGATCACCGTTATTGTGCTCAAATTATTATTCAGACAATTGTGTTTAAAATTTAGCCAAAGTAAATAACATTTAATTACTTTCAACATTTCTGTTACAGTTCTCTGCACTTGCTGCTGTTTACCTTGTTTGCTGTGCTCGCTGTCTGGTAAAATTCACGAGTGTTCTCTTATGCCTTTCTGTGTTCCTGGTGGTCTAATAGCCATGAGAGCAAGATTGAGAACATTGGGTGGTATCCAGGTATGTACAGATTTTGCAGTTAACAAATTCTGTTGGGATATCTAAGCCCAGTTTAAAGCATTCGGTTGATATTGAATAACTGTCAGCAAGTAAAGACCATTATACATGTATATTAACAGAAACATGATAACAAAAGCGTGATTGTTATTATTACTAAGAACCTATTTATCTTTTTCAGGGTTCGATCTTTAAGGATTGCTTGGCTGTGACATTTTGTGAACCGTGTGCTATTTGTCAAATGTCGAGAGAGATGGATTCCATGGGGCTTTAATATATTATTTATATTTTTGGCAATATAGTTTTATAAATTATTGTTTAATGTGAATATTTTTCGATTTTTATATTAACCATTACATATTTTTTGTACAAGCCCTTGATTGTCCACATTGGATACGGACACCAGTAATTACATTTCCACACCATTGCACAATTTAAAAAAACTGAAAGCTACAGCGCATGTCATCTTTTTGTTTTGCTATAAAATGATTCATGTACTGATATTGTAAATAATATGTAGAGATTAGTGTTCTGAAATGAACTAACAAACACGAATTAAATATTATTGTACCAATAAAGAAACATCAAGCATCTAAGAATAGCTACAATTGTTATGGTTGAGCTTTATCTACAGAAATATGACAATCCTGGGGATTTGTGGTAGCTCTATTACCGAAATCAGTACGTATCATAATGTACAATGAGCCATTGACATAGTTGTCCTTGTTACATACTTGACAGATATAGACTTTGTTAAAGAAGGTTGAATACATTAAATTTAATTCGTTATACGATATAGATTAATAAAATACCATTGACAATAAGTCATAAGATTGAACCAACTCTTTTAAACAACCATTGGTTGATAATGTGATCAAACTACTGAGCTCCACTCAAAACCTTGGATTGGATTGGCATGGGACTAGAAATAATGGAAGAGCAAAATCAATTGATCAGTTGCCTGATTGGCATATATTTGATAAAAAAAAAAACAGAACATGACAATACACAGATGGAATAACCATTTTTAGCCAAATTATATCACCTGCAGACATAGCATATTGAGCCCCACTAAAGAAATTATTTTCAGTTGCAGTAAGAAATTTATATGAACGCTGTCAGTATAAGATTACATCGTGGTCGTACAGTTACCGTTGATTAACAGTTGTATATAAAATGGTCCTGGGGGAATATTGTTCTATAATTATGAACGACTGACAAAGGTAAAATGAGTTGAGACATGTTTCTCACGCGACCACCTTTTTTAAACAATTACTTTCAATAAAATCCCCCCGCCTCCTTACAACTTTTCAATATAGTTTACGACTTCTAAGCGACGACCTTCATTATGCGGCCAACACCCATATATTTACAATCCTGAAAAATCAAATAACTCAATTAAGGAGGCTAATACTTAGTTTCCGGACAAAAATTGACATAATAATTCACAGCATTGCAAACTTATTTGTTGTCGTTATAAAAAAAGATAATGGTAGTTATGCATCGATAGTAACGTGGTTGTCTCCCTTATACAACATTTATTCTACATACCAAACATCTGCATCAATTTTTTGCCAGCACTGATCTTACCCCAGTCAGGATTTCACACCAAGCCTATTCAAGGCGTTAAATTATATACATGTAATTTAAATAAACAAAATCTATTGAAAAATTGCAAATTTTAACGAATAATAACGAATGGTAGTCCACGGAAAGACAACACAATTTCAATAAACGACCAGTTGTAAACCTTAAAACGGCATTTGATTATAAGCTTAAATATTTTATTGATACAAAATCTGGGTTCATTGAGGCTTTCAGCAATTCAACAAACAAACGCTTTCCAGATATGTAATGAGTCTAAAAGATAACTTGCCAAGGTAATTTACGCCAACTGGCAGCTTTGATTTTGAATAAAAATAGTTGGCAGTACCGTTACATCACCAGTATGAAATATTCAGTATATCACAAATACGATCTTTTGAATACTGAAGTTTTGTCAAAATCTGTTCAGAATTGGGCTTCTAGAGTGTATACAGGCTAAAACTAAGAATTTTTCGATTTTTTTGATTTTCAATAGTTTTCATCCTTGGGTGTTAATCAAGAATTGTGCCTTCTAGAATATTTACGAGCACGTTTTCAAGAACAAGGTCAATAAATCATACTAAATATTTTTCGATTCTACTGATTTTCAATAGAATTCATCTTTTGGTGATAAAAAACACTCACAACCAAGTTTCGTCAAAATCCATCAATCATCTTCATTATCTAAAATGTAATATTCAGCGAGAACCATTTCTTTTAAGATTTCTATTTACTTATGTGTGATATCCATACTCAAAGTCATTTTGCTAAGAAAGCTGTCTTAATGAGGATTGTTCATCAGAAACACGACTTGTTGGTAGAGTGAAGCCAGTTTCCACTGTATTGTTACCATAAGCACCAAACAACAAACCTTCTGTAGTGGAACAAATTGGCACAACCATCCTAAATATTTTAAAACTACGGTCTACATAAGGTAACTGAATGTATTTGTACATAAACAATCGTTGCCACCACCGTTTAAGATAGCGATTGACCGCGATCTTCGATTATTTGTTTACATAGTATAAATCATTTTAAAGTAGTAATTGAAATCTATTTAAACAAGGGTATATGGGGCAGGGTTAGACTTCTTCATCTATGGTCTGCTCCTTAGCAACTCCATGATATGATATTTCTCAATTTTATCTTACGATCTGTTGTTATAATTTTCGTCGTGGCAAAATCTCGGTTTAAGGTAAGGATTAAGTTTTAGTAGCTAAAGATTTTGCTTTATTCTTTACGACAAACGGCATTTTGAGTTGATAAAACCACACTAAGAGTATCATCAGGTCTTCTGAGATGTTGATCATGTCTTGCCTTGCTAGTAATACTCGCCATTGTACTTATTTTAGTGGGGCTCAAATTTAATCGAGTGATCCAGTGCTCAAAGCTGGACTTTTAAAATTATACATGTCATGCTAAAAAGGCGATCACCTTGGATAATCACTATGTTTTTAGCATATATGTATTTATTTTCAGATGCTGTGACCTTCCAAAATGATATGTTTATTGATAGTCATGTTGACTCTTACAGTGGGATCTGGAATGGAGAGCATCAACTGTACATTCAGTACAAATTCATTAGTGGAAGCAATAAAATCTACCACCAAAATTATTCAAATAGATCTCGACTTGCGTTCATCTGAACAACTGACACCTATTCAATCACCAAATGCTACATCTTTCAGCCCTAGCAGATGGTTTATAGTTCGAGGTGAGCGGACAAATCGCCTTCTTCTTCTCTTCTATTTTTATTATGGATATTTTGAGCCCTACATCATCGTACCAAGAGAGAATATCAACATGCCAATGAGTACAACCTGTTTTCAAAATATAACCTCCGATGAATCTGTAGTAATGATTCGTAAGAATCTTCTGTATATGACTGACAGTGCTGGTCGTGACACAGCGTTTAAAGAAAATGAAGTTTGCTCTATGTTCATCAAGGAATCTGGCGGATTTGGAATCTTGATCTTCCGATGTTGCAAATCAGTTGAAAAGGACATAACATGTTACGACGTTGAAGAAGATTCATGGATATGGACGTTGAGAGTTTTCGTCATGACGTTTTCGATACTCTTATTTCTGTATTTTCCAAAATTTATTCCTGTAAATCTTGGACCCAAAACATTTAAATTCAGACCTAGGAATAAACTTGAAATGAGCATTTTAAAGACAAAAGAACAATCAACATATAAAAGCAAACTGATCATTCCTGTTGCAACCATGAAGCATATGTCTACATTTTGTGATCATCTCCAAAATTTGCAAACAGGCATTATTTTCAACACGGAAGTGCAATCGATTGACTTGCTCATTCAAAGGGGCCAGATTATCTCTGAAACAGACAAAGCAGTGAGTTTTCGACAGCTTCTTTACGATCTGTTCATTCGATTTAAAATACGCCATGTTGATATATTTCAAGTCTGCTGTTCGGCTTCTATATTCGGTAATAAATTTGACAATAATAATATAGTGCCTTGGCATAGATGTCTCAGACGAGTAAGAACAATAATCATTTACATGTGTATACTACTACCAGCCCTTCCATTAATGTTCATTTTGTGTTTGCCAAACACGAACATTATAAACCTGGGAATGGCGATAAGGTCCAGGGGATTACTGGAGGCCCATAGTTTTCACCTTGGTCCATTTGTTGGTCAAATTTTAACAGGATTCGTATTTGTAGTCTATCTACTTCATGTAATTATGGTTTTAAGTATGGACAGTTTCCAAAATGAACTCTTCGAAGTCATTGGTATCTATGAAAAGGATACGACAAAAGTAGTTACTGAAAAGGGACATGTTACTAGGGCTTTGATGTCTTTATTTACCAAATACGGCTTATTAGCGGTACCCGTTTTACCAATCCTAATTATGTTGAGCCCCATTTTAATTATTCTTTACGTAGTAGTAACTGCACCTGTTATTAAAATTTTAATAAGACAATTCACGAAGTTGTGTGGATTTCATAAACTAAGTTCTATGATGGGATCTAAATGTGGACCCAAGTTGTCACTCTTCTTGTTCATATCATTATTATCGGTATTTGTTATTTTGACAATAGGAATTAACTTTCTTTTACATTGTTTGTGTGTGATCATAGTAAATGTTCTTATTAACTGGTACTTTGCCATGAGCCTGATATCAATAGTTGTTTTAATTGTGGTATATGTACGAGACTCTGCTAAACGGTTGGAAGGACAATACAATAACTATTTCAAGGCTATATTTAAAGAGATCATGGCCTTCAAAACCGATCAAATCACATTGGAAGCTAATAAATCAGTTTTGAATCAAAGTGCAATGGCTTTTCAAGTCACAGAACAGGATGTAATGGATGTAGAAATACAACTCAATGGTACCAAGATCAATCCGTTTAAGTGGGATATCAAACACGATTGCCTTCGTTTCAAAACATCGGGAGTGGTACTTTTTCTCGATAAACGTGACGTTCCATACATTCCAAAGCGCCTTTTTGAAGAAATGACATATATGGACTGTCCGGGATGTCCTGGGCCGTTGATTAATTCTTTGTGTCAATCGTTTAAGGATCTAGGTGGTATAGGCATATTTTTATTGTTTTTGTTTCTTTTGGTCATGTCATACGGAGAAGCATTATCCGTCACACCAACAACTCGATTCTTTGCAACTTTGGCCACTGGATTGGTGCCATTACTTCTCCGATCGTTTTTCTTTTCTGGTGGCAATACGTCTTCTTTAAATACAACTACACTCCGATTTAAGAATCATTTTCTGCACACACTATTAACGTTCGAGAAGCGTTGGAAAGTAAGTGATTGTCAGATCTCTGTGCTTGAAGAACCGTTTGCCTTTTCGTTGTGGAAGAAGGCGTCTAGAGACACTGTTGAAACCAAATCTGAAGAGGTTGATATTATTATAGATACGTCATTTAAATCTTCTAATGGTGATGGTTCATGCTGTTGTTCGCCAATAAAAGTGGAAGATGTGTAGAACAATGGAGATATGGTTTTGAACTACTTCAATCTTTCAATGAATTGCAATAGAAATGGAAATATATTTGTAGATGATATTATGATGATTTATGTGAAATTTCAGACAAAGTAATTTGTGATGAACCTTACAAATAAATAAAAAAGCGCTTCTCTTTTTTAACATTTCTTACTTATTTTCGAAAAGAACATATTTTAATACAGAAAATCGAGACTAAAGATGACATAGGTTAACTCAAGGCCAATGTATTCGTAAAATTTAAAACCTCCACGGTATAACCCCGAATTAATCACGAGCGGCTTGTCCATTTTAATGATACATTCATCGATACAACTAATAAATGAGTGTTTCAATGAATGAATTGTCAATATCCGTTAGAAGATGACGGAACCGAATTATTCATCTCCACAACAGCATCTTATTGTGTCTACTACTTGTAGTCAAAAAGCAAACTACTTTTAGATATCCATTTATTTAACACCATGTTACAAAACATAATAAAACTAAACCTTTACTCTCAAATGAAGTGTTCGCGAATTTGTTGTTTTCGTTTTGTGCGCGTTCTCCTACGACATCTTGATATTAAACTGAATATTAATATTTGCACTCCAATTTCAATCTAAGGCATCGGAGTTAATTTATGATTTCTATAATTGATTTATAACTGGTTTATTTTCACTAAATTTGCGGCATTAACAAACGTGACATTTTGTAATATATACTGCTTGCCATTTGTCTTCATTTCCTGGCCTCGAGATTTTAAGAAGTCATAAGACGAGAGATCTTATAAAATCTTACTTTGTTTATTTTAATACCCCGAGTCACGATCGTTATCAAAATAATTCCAAGTACAACGTGTTGTGACAGGAAATTCCTTTCTTTAGAATCATTTCATTTAAACTTTCAAGTTCACGACTGGCAGACATTTTAACATTACAAATTGGAGTCGCCAAGGTGCAGTCAACGTTTATAAGAATTTTAGAACTCTAGTTCTAATGATGTTGTTCGAGGGAATAACGTAAAACAAAATTTAGTTGAGTTTACACATCACTAAAATGAGGGCAGAGATTAAACTCTCTCGCCAACGATACCGAAGCTTTGCAAGCAGTAGCAAATTATCTACAACCAATAATTCTGACGACATTGTTAGTGCTGATGTTGTCGACAACAACAATAAAAAAAAATAGACACAGAGGCTATCTAAAAATTTGACACAAATGAATATCATTTTTTTTAAACCTTGCCGATAAAGATGGTTCACAGTTAGACCGAATTTTTTCTCCAAAAAAGTAACAAAATTTCGAAGAAAAAGAACAGAGGAACAAAACGGAAATTATAATAACGAGTAGAAAGACTTTAAAACTGGAAAGAAGGTGAATTAAGATCCGTTAACGACTCATAATGAGAGTAACATGCTGAATTTAAACAATAATTACATTGTGTTGAAATCAGATAGGAAATGAGTCATTAAGATTTTGTGTAGTTCAAATCATAAACAAGGCAAAACATGAATATTCCAATTTCAGGGACGCTTCATTTGTTATGCATGCAAAAGTCAATTATCTGTTGGGGTGCTTGCAGTAAACGTCTATTTGCAAAATTAAGTCTCTGGCATCTGGCCAATTCACCCACGCTCATTTGTAATAAACTTTTAAATATGTTTTTTTTTTAAATAAATTATGGTTATTTAAAGGGATTATTTGGTATGTGTATCGAAGACACTGATAATCAATTTGCACCATTCCAATTTTCAGTCATGGGTCCATGTTTCCTGCAATCCAATAAAGCGAAGTGTCGTCATCAAACACTTATTTGTGGAATTGCAGGAACCACAGACGTCTGACTGAAAATTGGAATAGTGCAAATTGAAGCTCTGCTTCGTTTGGCAATAGCTTTAAGTTTAGTTATATAAATTGTAGAGTACTCGTTGCATTGCGTAGACTCTGATTTTCTATGGTATCATCTTCTAAAACAGACTGAAATGACTTATTTACACAGAACAACAACATTTACATTAATGACTGATTGGAATATTATAGTTTGATTAAAGTAATATTATACAGATGTTTGTCAGTTACCTGGTTTAAAGATAGTTATACATTAATATGAAAAATAGCTGTCATTGAATAAAGACCTTTAGATATACATGTACATGTGTAATTTCTTTAATGTGTATATGACAATGTGATGACTATATATATCACGAACGTATACACACGAATGACAAACAATTGGGGGTGTGATGACCTAGCTATTCAATACATTATATTATGGAGGCTTGGTGTAGTTGGCCTATATTCATCTTACTAGTAGTTTCAATATCTAGTTTGTGGTCATATGAGGTGTCGAAAGAGAAAAAAATTATTTAAGTCATGTGTTGATATTTTCCTTGTAAAAACACTTGAATATGTAGTAATAAAATTTATAGGAAATTAATTGAAACGTGACCATACGACTGTGCACAAGTGATCAGAAATGGAGTCATCTTATCTTGTTGGTAAGTAGTATCATTTTGTCTATACACAGGTTAATTGAGATGGTATCATTTTCGTCGGGGCCTTCAACTATGTATGGCATAATGTTTAGATATTCTAATGCTGTATTACCAGTCAATCAAAGAATTCTCATTATAATGAATTATATACCTGTATAGAAATGTATTGTTTTTTTTTTTGTGGATGCTACAAAAGTTTTATCAAGGTGATTCTTGAACACAAAGTTTATTATAGATTTTTAAAATTTTACAAAGTTTGTGTTACTTGGATAAAAGTATTAAGGGTATATTTTCAACCCTGTGTTTGAGTTTTTGATTGCCATATTTTTTCGTCATGACTGTGCAATAATGTCGGTAATACACCATTTGCTTTGTGTGAGTTGACTAGGCCTGAAGGATAATATAGTTTAATCGTAATGACATGAAGCGATCAAGGTACACACCAGGAGCATGAGAAGGCACCAATGTGTCAGTAACATACATCTCAGATCTGAATTTAAGATTAAACAATGTCTGTTATGTAACTAAATGAAAGCGTAGGTTCATAAGGTGATATGAATTATAATATCACCTGGATAATCTATGGGATCTGAAATATGTAAACAGACGTCCCATTAATGTAGATTTGGGTCACGCCTGGTGTGTACATAGATAACATTGCAAAAGTCTCAATAATAGTATTTATCAATATGCCAGAAGGCAATATTAAGAGAGATTATTCATAACGATTTAGAGTCATAATAAAATGTTCAAATTGTTATCACAAATTGCAAATCACGCCTCAATAACTCTATTCATTAACTAAGCCTTCGTTGTCTAATACAAAAATAAGTGTGATATTGTGTTTCCACTTCTTAGTGTAGAGACACATAACCCGCTTTTTTGTATCATATTGACCATATGCGTGATGGTTGACCAGTGCTCGTATATCATTTAAACATTGTCAATGCAAGTAAAACGTTTGAACGAGGCACATGTATTTAATGTGTTCGTTCTACGAAAAATTAAACAAAGCTCGATTCGATCCGTAACTGATGCTGACAAATTGACAAAAGGCACTTCACAAAACGAAAATTAAGGATACGTTATGGCTTTGCTTTAAAGGTATCAGCACTAATGGCTTTGAATTTGGTATGTGTTTCAGGGACAATCATAGTATCGATTTGTACCGTCTGTGGTTCTCACAATTCCACTAAAACTAAGCGTTTTATAACGTCACCTCATCGCAATTATTCAGATTTTGCAATAGTGACGTCAAGTCACAAATTTGACTTAAAAACCTTTACTGAAACATTCAGATATGGTTTGACCCTTTTAAATTGGATCATGCTGAGCTAGACTTAAAATGGCTTTGTATGAATATGGTATGTCTGTAAATCAGTAAAATTGACATTAAAATATAGTTATGCTCTGTCAGTTGTTGAACAAATGTCCTACATACTTTGTGTGATCATATATTATTTATTTATATTTTTTCAGGTAGTTAGCTCTTATCTGATCATAGTGGGCGTAAAATACTAATAGCATAAGCCAGGTGCATTGTTTGAAGTTGCAGTAATAACATTGGCGTTAAGTTTATTATTGCAATAATCACCACTTTTTATATACTCATGTAATTTCAATTTTTACCTCATATGGATCGAGTTGGATTTAACTAAGGAAAAGAATATACTGGTTGTTGTTAATACTTTTTTTTATACGCAGGAATTCTTAGTGTTGTTATTTAAAGTTCAGGCATTGGTTTGATAAGAATTATTTAACGAAATCGTCGGAAGACAGAATTGTAAATAGGACAAATTTTAAAACATATTGTCGAAGTGAAATATAAATGAAATGCTTACAAAGATAGGTTTTTCTTCAGCCAGTAGACAATATGGTGGCTTGGACACGCTTATACTCTATTACAGATTACTGTAAATTTTGAATAATATTTGCCACATGGTGCAGAAAAGTAAGACCTAAACTGATAACATAAAAAGAATAGTAATGAAATAGCAAGGAAAATGTCAGTTGTTAGATATGAAAATGTAATAATTAACCAGTGGTTGAGTATGATTATATAACAATAAGAATATAAATGAGTTGTTAAGAATGATTATTAAGACAGTTGTATGATAATTGGGTATAATGGTATGTAATATATTAGTTGTTCAATATGAAAATGTAATAATTAATCAGTGGTTGAGTATGAGTATATAATAATAAGAATATAAATGAGTTGTTAAGAATGATTATAAAGAAGTTGTATGATGATTGTGTATAATGGTATGAAATATATTAGTTGTTAGATATGAAATTTAATAATTAACCAGTGGTTGAGTATGAGTATATAACATAAGAATATAAATGAGTTGTTAAGAATAATTATTAAGACAGTTGTATGATGATTGGGTATGATAGAAAGGAAAATGTCAGTTGTTAGATATGAAAATGTAATAATTAATCATTGGTTGAGTATGATTATATAACGATAAGAATATAAATGAGTTGTTAAGAATAATTATTA